CAAATTTAAAATTATCATTATAAGATTTGGAATAAAAACTAAAGTTTACGTGTCCGAGCGTTTTTCATAAAAATCTTTTCTTAACTAATAACGAATTTTATTCCATAAGTGAGTTCCACACTGTATATATACCCGATTATTACAATTAATATAATTTTATTTGCATTTCATGACATGATATTTCTTTGGATGTGCTTACTATATTCCAGTGGCGGCTGGTTGATTTTGGGTATACCAATATCTCAATTATTACTAATAATTGAGATATCGGTATACCCAAAATCCACCAGCCGCCACTGGAATATAGTAAGCACATTCCCATATCTATAATTTATTAGATATGGGACCCACACCAAATTTATATGAGTTTATAATGACATTAAGTAAACAAGTTCTGCGCAAGCAGAATTTAAATTGAAGTTTGCGAAAAAAATATAACTTTTTGCTTGTCCGTACCGGCCCCATGGCGCCCTCAATAAATATAATATAAATTTAATTGGAGAAATTTTTTATTTACCATAGTTTATCGACAAATTTCAAATTTCATTTAAAAAATCCAAATTATACAGATTTTATACCATTTTAAATTTTTAATATTTCCTTTAAAGAAATAATAAAAATTTAAAATTATTTTGCGTAGGACATCCAAATATTCAAAATGGAATAAGGACATTCCACGTTACACAGTAATTTTTGTCCCACCCGTCACAATTGAAAATTGTGAGTAAAAACCACAAATTATTAAATTAATTTTATAATATTATTTTTATTGTGATTATAAGCTTATTACAAGAATAATAAACAATAAATTAATAGTAAATTATGTATCAAGTTTGATAAACGCCATTTTATACACGAATTTAATTTAGGCACGAGCGAGCTTGCGAGCGAGTGCTTAAATTAATGAGTGTATAGAAAAGTTTATAAACGAGGTGCATACTTTACTTTTTCTACGACAAATACTTATTATTATCTTAAAATGATTTAAATAAAAAAATAGAGCGCCATCTATAAAACCATGGAGCCTACACAAGGAGCCCGAACTTAATAGGGAAAATTGACAAAACCTGTCCACTAAATTGCACAAATTAAGTATTTTTTTTCACCACCAGCGGCGCTGATTGTCGATGCGTCCGTATGACGTGAAAATAGTATCGAAAATACATGTGAAGTAAGCAAGTAAGTTGGAGTTCGATTTTATCCTTCATCGTGTGTACATCGCTCCATGAAAAAGTCTGAAAATAGTTGACTTTGACCCAGGAAGGATAAAATGGGGTTCCCGGTATAGAAATATACCTGTATTTCTCGACAATATCGCAAGCTTTGTCCTTTCAGCGAGGAATTTTGTGATTTGTGCAATTAATGTAGTGGATGTTTCAAGATTTAAAATTCCACATGTCCGTGAGTGGATGGCTTCGAGAAGCTCAAGGACGTTAAAACTTGTAACTGGGCAGTAAGAGCCTAATTGGCTCAAGTCCAATTCTCTCGAAAGAGAGAATAACAATTATTGAAGAAGAAGAAGAAGCAAGTAAGTTTTGACAATTGATTTGCAATAATGTTTTGACGTACGAATCGTTTTGTTATTTATGGCTGTACCTGGTAGGTAGATGCTAATGAATAGGTTTTGGTTGTGAAATATAAGTGATTCTTTATAATCTGTGAAGTGATTTTACGACTCTGGAAAAGCAAAATTAGATTTCCAGGTTAGAAATGCACCGCTATTTAATAATTTCCACTTTTATTTGTTTATATTGAACTTTTATTTTTTAACCATACAAACAATGACGACATCGTCTTTTATATCGTCTTTCGTATCGTTATTTTTTTTTAAACTATTTCACACTAAATTCACATCGCAGCATCTTTTTTGGTCGTAATTGTGCATTGCATTAATACATAATTATGATTTTTAATTATATTTAATCAAAACATAGCTAAAAAGAACTTCCCTAAGTTTACAAGTCCCGATATCGACAAAACAGTCGTCAAAACGACAAACATAACGATATCGTCTTTGACATCGTTTTTCGTACCGATATTTTTTTAAACTATTTTACACTAAATTCAAGTCGCAGCATGTTCCTTGGTCCTAATTTTGCAGTGCATTATGATTTCTATTTATATTTTTATATTTAATAAAAACAAAGCTCTAAAATAGTTTCCCAAATTTGACGACTCGTCTAACGACCCTCGATATATAAGATAAGGGTCGTCATGACGACAAACAATTACGATATGGTCTTTGACATCGTACGATATCGTCTTGCGTATCGATATTTTGTTTTAACTATATATATATATATAGGTAGGTAGGTATATAGTTTTACCATTGATGTAATCAATTTGATTAAGGTAGGTATCCAACCCTATTCCTTTACTGAACGGTTTTACACTTTTATGTCTCTAATAGTGCAACGCTGTCATTGCATTGCAAATAAATACTGATATTAAATATAGAAAATAGTAAGAAGACAAAATCATAGAAAAAAGTATTATTTTATTATAGCTGGTGTTGTAGGAAATAAATTTAAATATACCGCCGACGTCGGTAATGTAGGTGTCATTAACAGATAGAAATTAATAAATAACATGGCGAAGCTGAGTTCTTGTGGCTGGTCTATTTGTGTCTGTTTAGAGCTGTGTTTATCTAATCTATAGATATATATGGATGTGGAGCTGTATTTAATACTTCTAAATTAAAACGTAAGTAGACAGATTGTTTTATTATAGTTCGTATTTGATCGTATTGTATACCTAAATGATGGACAGGAATTCAACCTAAATGAAGGAGAGGAAACCAACCTAAATGAAGAACAGGAAACCAACATAAATTAAGGACAGGAAACCAACCTAAATGAGGGACAGGAAACCAACCTAAGTGAAGGAATTCTTCCTAAATGAAGAACAGGAAACCAACCTAAATAAAGGACAGGAAACCGACCTAAATGACCCTGTAACTATATATGATATTTCAGACTCATTAACTTTAAATGATAATGATAGTGGCAATTGCAGAACTTTTTACATAATTTAAATATTAATATTTGAAAAATGTTAAAACTTCTATACAATTTAAATTGAATCACTGATTTTAGAAACACCTAAAGTCAATTTACTCGAGATATTCTTCAAAAAAATAATTATTTTTATATACACTTTAAAATCATTAATTTCTTTACTAGGGTGCTAATTTCACAAATAAATGATTGGTAAGTTTATATAAAAATAATTAAGCAATTTAATTAGTTTTCTTCATTTGTGACTTACCAAGTAACTCAGATAGTTCCAGATCCTTTTGGTTTTAGACTCGCCACCAAAATACAGTTCCTGTGTACACCCTGTTACCTAATTTGTCACTTTATTAGGTAATGCCACTCCAAAGGATTTTTGGATAATCTCTTTTACCACTCTGCTACTAGTCATTTGGAGTTTGAACACCCAAAATTAAAGTAGCAAATGGGTTGTTACGTCTAGTAACTGGGACTAGGCATATCCTTTCATTGTTAGCACTAAGTGGCGAAAACTAAATAGTGGCGATAAATACGAAACGGCTACCAGCTTGTGCTACTAAAATGGGTAAATTAAGTAGTTGTTACTATATAGTTCCATGCTTAGTCACAGAATAGTCCCAGTACTCTATATCGTGGGCCTTAAAGTTAGGAGGCATTTGGGTAATAGTGTTGGTCCTGAAATAGTAGCTGCGACTATGGGTTGGTACTATAAAGTTACGGGTACTTTACTCTTTTGACGTTTTGCTACTACGAGCCCTAACCACATAATGTTCGGACATTTCATAATTTATACAGAAATTTTTTTCTTGAATACTATCTCAAAATTATTAGAAGTTATGAAAAATTCAGCTTATTTTGGCATATACCCCTCGAAGCGATTTTTATTTTTAAAAAGTTTACCTTTTATTTTTAGCTTTTAAAAAAAGGCTAACTTTTTAACTTTTTTTTGTATGAGTAAAAAAAGTTATAAATGGACCCATTAAAAAGAGCATAAAATATTATACAAACCCTGAAAATTTGGTAAAAAATAAATAAGTTATAAAAAAGTATAAGTAATTTAAAAATGCTATTTTTAAAGAGTTTTTGCAATTTTCTTAGGAAACGGGAGATTTTGCAGATATATATATCGCTATAACTTTCTTACTATTTATACAATTTTTACCAAATTTTCAGGGTTTGTATAATATTTTATGTTCTTTTTAATGGGCCCATTTATAACTTTTTTTACTCATGCAAAAAAAAGTTAAAAAGTTAGCCTTTTTTTAAAAGCTAAAAATAAAAGGTAAACTTTTTAAAAATAAAAATCGCTTCGAGGGGTATATGCCAAAATAAGCTGAATTTTTCATAACTTCTAATAATTTTGAGATAGTATTCACGAAAAAAATTTCTGTATAAATTATGAAGTGTCCGAACATTATGTGGTTAGGGCTCGTATAAAGTTGTAGAAACTGAAAAATGTGTCTATATAGTGGCAGATAATATATGTACCCAACCTGTCTGTTACATATTTTGGTACAACGGAATAAGGAAGATTTTATTATCTCGTTTATTCCAAGAGAAAAACCTAGAATCGGTATCCCCAATTTTTAATATTGATGGCTTGCCTATATTTAATAGTTCTCGATACTAAAAATTCATGAATATCCTTGTGATCAACCCATGGTGGTGGATATTTATTGCGGAGAGTCAAAACCTCCATTACAAGAATTTTGCATGAATTTGTAACGGAACTAAATGAGATTTTGGAAACAGGAATTCAAGTTAGTCAGATTAGGGTAAAAGTAAAAATTAGGTATTTTGTATGCGACACTCTAGCACGAAGCTTTATTAAAGGTAAATTCCTATCTCAAACTAATTTTAAGTTTTAGTTATAGTATATAGTATGCATGTGAGAGATATTCCGCTGGAAAAAATTTCAACAAAATTTAATTCTGAGAACATTATGATCTACACTGCATCCTAATTGCTTAATTATTGCGATTATTGTAGGAACTGTAGGCTTTAATGCGAAGCATGGTCGTATAAAATGCACCGTTACTGGAGAATATGATAAAGATGGAAGCCATATGAGTTTCTCAAAAGTTGATTGCCCTTTAAGAACGGATGAAAGTTTTCGTAGGGCTCTAGATGAAGGTCATCACAAAGAAGAATCCATTAATAAAACTGCCAATAGATATGGTTGAAGATATAATCATAGCAGATTCCTTACACCTATTTGCTACCTACCTTTTAGGTAGGTAGCACGAATCCGAAAACAATTTTAACCAGAGCCAAAACGTGCAACAATCAAATTGTAGTCTTAACAAAATACATTTGACTTTTGAGCTCAACCTAGGTTAGGATTCCAGCATTACCTACAGTGGTAGACGGAACTTTATAGTAACATATGTAACTATATTGTCACAAAATGCCTGATCGTCCGACTTTTTGGGTGTTTAAAATAACTTTTTAGTTCCAGTAGTTACCATAGTGTAGAAATTTAAAAATAAAAAAGTTCCGAAGTAGTAACCGGTACTACACAGTTACTTTTGGGTAGTGACAACTTAGTCACTGAAAGTAGCAGATCCTTTAAAGTAAAAAATGGGTAGTCCCTGCTACTTTATAGGGAAGGGCCTAACTTTATCGTAGCGAAGTGTAAGTCAGCCATATTTTTACGGTCACGATTTTTTTATGGAATTTTGTTGTTTGTATATTTTCTATTTTTCTTCATTTTCCTAATGTTTATAATTCCTTAAGCATTTATTTTTTTAACTAGAACTCCAATACACTTTTGTATATTATGAAATATTATTTTTTATATTTTTTATATTATTTTTTCTTCGTAAATATCTACTAAACTAAGTTAATTTGAGGGCGCGTTAAAATATTTCCATCTAAACCGGTTATATTTGTCAGTATAGTGAGTTGCGTTCTAATATTAACCCTGGAAGTACCCAAAATACGCGATTAAACATCATTATTTTTGTCATTAACACGCCATTATTAAGTTTAACATGGCAATGACTTCGTGATTGTCCTGTCATATTATTATGTCTTTGAAAACTTTTTTACAAAGTAGAGGTCGCTAGAGGAACGTTTAGTGGCAGTTACCAGGCGGCCACGTAGGGGTTACTAGGCCGATACGTAGCAGGATGGTGGTTGCTACTACCTTTTCACTTTATAGTAACGAAATATAGTGGCAACTTTTTCTCTAATTTGAGTCTTTCTGAAATTAGTGGTACAATTGTTCACTTGCATTGGTTTCATTTCAGTTTAATCTTTCTATAGAGTTGGGCTTTACTTTATTATGGCATAATAATTATTAAGTTTTATCAGAGTTATTTATTTTTATTATTATTATTATTTTTATTATTAAGGGGGTGATACACACTAAAGTAAGCAAGTTTTTTCTCTATCACTTTTGCAATAAGCTACTGTTTTTGAATAAAAAAAGTATAAAAATTGATGTAATTTTTCGTATGCCACTGCTGTTTTTTGTTTAACGACCTATAAAAAACATATGTTTTTGCAAAAATCCATAAAGTATAGGTGGCCAGTTATTTAGCAGTAATTAAAAGAATCAGTTAAATGTTGATTTTATTTGACCCATTATACCACCTGTAAACAGGAAGTTTAAGTGGGTCAAGTTTACTTATCTTCAGAAAGGAATCAGTGGCGGGGTCAAAATACTTTAATATTTTTTTTATATTTTTTTTTATTCAAAAATATTAGCTCCAATGCAAAAGTAATAGGGGAATATCTTGCTTACTTAAGAGTGTACTATCACAACTTATTTGGTGACACTGTATTTTGTTTTAAAAGTTTATTTTATTTTTTAAGTTTGTTTTAAAAATGTTATAAATTTATTATTGTAATAACAATTCCTTGCCATTGTGGTTTTTGTTTGTAAATGTCATAAATAAAAAAAGGCTTTTTTAATTGCATATTTTTTATTTAAAATTTTATCACCTCTAGATTTGTTCGTGATATCGTATGTCGATTTGTTTACGATATCGCGTGTCGATTCGTTTACGATATCGCGTTTCGATTCGTTTACGATATCGGCGGACATCGTTTGACGATATCGCGTTTCGACTCGTTCGCGATATCGACAAGCATATCGGCATCGACGTTAGTTGGCGATATCGCGTTTTGACTCGTTCACGATATCGAAATACATATCGACATCAACGTAATTTGACGATATCGTGACGATAAGAATGTAGAATCTAAAAGTGTCGGATTACGAGTCCTCGGAATTCTTATCGTTTTTTGTATCGTTATTGTTTGTAGGGAAGCCATCTACCCATAAAACTAAAAATAAATACCATATGGATTTAATATTCTGTTAGTTTTACACGCTTTAACACCACACGACATTCTTTTATAGAAAAAAACACGTATTTATAAAAAACTGTACTATGCTCTACATCAGAAAGTCCAACATGAATTCCAATGTTAAATTTGATATAAATTTATTGTAAATTAAAACCTTTATACACAAAACCAGGTACATGGGTACATTGTTTTCAGAAAGCGATAAACTGACATTTGCATAACCTCAATTATTTGCACAATAATAAGTGGTAGGTAGTGGCGCCATCTCTGGTTATACCCCTCTACTGTTTTGGGCCGGTAGTACACCAGCGCCCTCTTATATTAGGAAGATTCTTGTTTACATGAAGTTCGGGCTCCTTGTGTAGGCTCCATGTATAAAACAATAGGGGAATCTGTGTGTCACCGTCAAATGTCACATTTTTATATTTTATACATAGATTATAAAGGTTATAAATCGAAATGTATTTATTGAAAATTGACAGCTTTTCATAGTGAAAGTAAAGAAAATGTTTTATGGGGACTTTACAGTGGAGTCCGTGCCCGAATTTAAGTTCAGTACAATGTTCATATAAACTTTTCAATTATTGGCGTTGAGAAACTATTTAATACTTTTGTATTTTTGTATTGAGATAATAAAATAATTTTCACATTTAGTATTATTTTACATGAAAGGCAATTTATTTTAACGATTGTATGACATTTGACAACTGTCAACTAACTTAAAACTAACTTCAGCCCGTGACTAAAAACCTGTTGCTAACTTTAGTCCGTGACTAAAGCGCCATAAAGCCACAACTTGTCAATGTGTATTTAAAAGGTCACTTAGTGTCATGGAAACATGTACGATAAAGGGCATTTTAAAGGTGGGAGTAGAAAAAATAAATTTAATAACGTGTAGTTTTCACAATTCTTAATCGTGACGGTTATTAATTAGGTGTTTATTTTTCGTGTCCAATTTACATTAATATGAGTTTTATTTTTGTTCTTTTCGGTTGATACAAAAATTACATAATGGTATAACCTGTCCTTGTAGGTATGCTATTATTTATTTTTTGCTTCTTATAATTAGTGTTTGATTCTATAATTTTTTTACCAGGTTCAAGGTATTTTTTTTTCGTCACTGATTTATTAATTTTGCGGCATACAGAGCCTCCCAGTCATCATTTTAATTATAGGTTAAGTTAATCAAAACACGATGATAATTATTTTTCTTGTTTTAGCACAGTATTGTTGGGCTTTTATAATAAATGTATACAAACAAATTATTAAGGAAAAATATTAATATATGGAAAGTATATTCTGTAACAAGTTTGAAATACGGCATATTCCGCTCGAGTGAAAAGTTTCTCGATCGGTCTAAAAATTGTTGGATTATAAATACAGAGATTTCACTATAGTAGTACTACTATAGTAGTGATTTACTACTAGCGTTTATTATGCACATACTTCCACACATTTACAAATCATTTCTAACTGAGACTGTTTACATTTAGTGGAGTTAAAGTTGCCGGTTTAAAAAAATACCATATTTTTGTCCCTATTTATAATAAATACTTTTTAATAAATTGTATGAAAAAAGCATTTAACAATAGTAATAAACACACAAAATGATGATATTTTATATTTATAATGGCATGGCATTATAACAGAGAGAATTTGGCAATGTCGTATTTCTACCGCGATAGCCAAAAGGTTTTTATGATAGACATACTAATTTATAGAAATGCGAATTAATAAATGCATTGAAGTCGAAGGCCACCATTTTGAGCACCTACTTTAATTAAAATTTAAAAAATAAAATGTATTTTATTCAAAAATTATTGGAGAATCATATACAGAAGAAAAATCGAGCAAAATTGATTTTTTTCATTACAGCGCCATCTATTAAAAATATGATCATTTTTATTTTAAAAATACTATAATGCATTTTACGAAAAAATGTTTAAAATGAAACTTTGAAATATCTCAGTTATAACTGTTAAATGACTTACCCTGTATAAACATATATGAAATAGGAGTTGCGAAATTCGAATATTCATATCCGACCCCTGAGCGAGAAGCGAGTAACCCTGTCTATATCCCTTTGAATGTCTGTAAATTATCCAAAGCTTTTGTTGTGCATTAGGTTCATTGATAAAGTCAAATTAAGGAAATTGTAAAAGTTAATATTAAACAAGTCGTGGCTGTATAATCACAGGATTAAAGCCAATTAAATTAATAAAAAAAAAAAGTATAAAACACGCATACCTAACTGTCGATCATATGCAAGTTTCGGAGTTGTATTTTCATCAAAATCTTCGTTAAATAACAATAAATTTGGAAGAAATCGAAAAATCCTTCTAGAAATATAATGATAATCCAGCAAATTTTCAATTTTGAGTTATTAATTATGACCTACTAAAACATTGTGGCCCACTTGACAAATTTTGACTCGACTGGTACCGGAAAAGGTGCGCAAGGAAATCATCGTGTGACACGATTCGTGTCTAAAAATATTCCCCTCTTGTTTCTTTTTATGCAGTGTTATAAACAAAGAACATATAAATGCAACTTCATCCCAATATGGTACCTATACCTATAGGTTTTACGCTAGGGAAAAATAATTATACTGTATAATAATAATAATAATAATGTTTATTCATGCATATAATAAAGATTACAGAAAACGTCAGGTACATAGATAAACAAAGAAAATATACTACAATAAAGTGTTACAGACATCCAATGGTTTTAAAAGAATTTACACTAATACTAACAAATAAACTAATTAATAACCTATACATACAATTTTTTTATTTAAACGTTTTTCTAGCATGTTATTATCCTAACACATTGCTTAATTTGTTTTTTCCAATTTAAGTAGAAA